CTGAAGAAGGCTTTTCCCATTAAAAGAGCCATGCTCATTATTTATAACTATTCTTTTACTTTTATTACCTGTACTCTACTTTTTCTTTTTTACAATTACTTAATGCTGGTATAGTGGAACACAACTATAATCCCAGCATTCTGGACGCTGAGGCAGAAGGTTTTTGAGTTCAAGGCCAGCTTGGGCTACATAGTAAGAGTCAGTCTCAAAAACTCCAAGGGCTAGGGATGTATGTAACTCAGTGGTAGAGCACTTGCCTTGCATGCAGAAGGTGCTGGATTTAATCCCCAGCACCACACACACACACACACACACACACACAACACACACACAAATACTTAAAATCATGGATGGAAAACAAAGATAATAATGTATCAGAGTCCCATAAGTTTAAATTGCACTAGTAGTAAGTTGATACAGTAAATATATAGGGAAGAATAACAAGAATAAAAGTGAGCCCAGAGTAATGATTATAAAATGGTAAAGGGAGAACCAAATTAGAGAATTTGGGGTTAAAACTAATCTCATCCCTTTGTTCCCTTCATTAACAGATGAGGAAGTTCAGGCCCTAAGAGGTAAAATGCTTTGCCCAAAGCATTTCTCATTAAAAAGAGAAGCAAAACTAGATATCAGGTTACCTGATATCAAAATCCTGGGACATTTAGAAAAATAATATAGTATATTTTATTAGCTTTTTTTTTTTTTAAAAACCACCTTGTCAATTTAGAAAACAGAAAGCTAAGTAAGCTCTAAACTTAAAAAGCCAATAAGCATAATACAAAGAAATTATTTGCAGGTTGGCATACATAAACACACTGACTTACATAACAAAAATCTTAAAGCTGTAACAGTAATAGTAAAGTAATTTGCCCTACTTCAGAAAATATAATAAGCTTGAAACAAAATCTTAAAGGTACTAACTTTACTAGTTAATAGTAACTAGCAGAATAACAGCACTGTTAGCCTTTAAAGTTTGAATCATTAAAAGGTAAAAAAATAAACTTTGTTTCTGTTATGAGGGAACAATCCTGCAGTGGTAAATAAAATGACAGTAAGTTATGAACAATGCTACAATACCGACAAAAATGTCCATGGAAGGACACAACAGACTTCCTGAGATAGGTGATTATTTAAAAAAAAAAAAAAAATGAGCAAAAAGGAAACATTCACCTAATCCAAAGAAGAAAACTGTCCTTTAACACATCTAAATAGACTGAATTACCCTATCTTATTGGAAGTAATGTTATGCTGGTTTAAGTTTTGACTAAAATATTAGTGAAAACTTTCTTTTATCTTCATAGCAACGTTTTATTTGGAGATTAGAGTAAAAAACATGCTTATTAACTTACATTAGCTCTTCATAAATCAACCACATAGGAATGGCTAGAAAGATGGCTGGCTCTGGATTTTAAAGTTTTCTTTCCTAGAAGATTTAGCTCCTTAGAGAAAAGTACAACTTTATATCAATGTAGTTATTAAAGAAGTTTAGGATTAAAATTAAATTAGAAATAACTGGATCAACAAAAAGGAAGAGAAGTTATGAAGAAGTATGAAACAATTTTTTGTATGAACTAGATAAGAATTATGTAAGAATAATGTATAAATTATATAGGCAGTAAGAAACAGCTGAATTAAATGTAAACACTTTTTCACATCTAATTAGTCATAAAGGCGTAAGTTTAAAAGAATGAGTTTCTTTGTAAACCTAGGTTATGTAAAACTGCTATACTTTGCATGTGAAGAATGAAGAAAAAATTCTTTACATGAGTTTAAAAAATCCATATACCTATATAAAACTTACAGTGTTTCACTTAAAATTTAAGGTTTTGCCATGATGAAAATCAGCAAGTAATAGTAATCATTATTTCAAAATTCATTCTCAATCATAAAGAATTTGGTACATGTAAGTCCTCAAAGAAGAAAAAGTTACGGGGCCTATATTCCTCTTAAACTTTTCTAATAAATTTCAGTCAAGCTTATACAATTCCATATAAAAGAAAAGTGTAATGGATACCCCGAATTTCTACATTCGAAATTGAATGTAGAAATTCCAATTGAATTGGAAGTGATCTACAATTCAACCACGTAAAATTTGAGCACATACTATGGTATAGCATACAAGAAAGAGACAAAAAAATTTAAGAACATACCTACTCTTGAAAAGAACCTTATTTTTAAACGTGAACTGAATTGTCAATTTAAGGACTATGCCAAATGATGCTAGTCTAACTGCCTCTTTTTAAAGCTGTAAACGCCACTGAACACCATATCCTGGTTATGTACAACCCCCCAATTCTAACAGAAATAATATCAGTACAGCGATTCACTGGTTATAGAGCACTGTAATGGTTATTCTCTCAGTTAATCCTCACAACATCCAGTGAGGTAGGTTATTATCATCTTACACAGAAGAAATTGAGATAAGAGAAATGTCCAGTGCAGTTCACATCATAATTATGGGTCTTTGAATTCTAAGCCCAGTGAAATTTTCGTAAGTTGCCCAAATATGTTAATGTGTAAATGTGACTTTGGCATGTCAAAAGCAATATAAAAATTCTACTGAAGTTTTAGTATATTATTATCTTCTAAGCTTCAGCCAATAATCTATTATTTTCAAAAAAAATTTAAGTACTTCCTAAACTAAGATGGGTATAATTATAGTTATTTCCAGCTACTAGCACACACACACACACCCACACACACACACACAACTAATGAAGTAGGTTAAAGTGTAGTAAAAATTTCTAATTTGAAGAGATTCTCAGAATTTTGTAAACTTGTTCTAAATAGCAGAAAAAGGAAAAAGGCTGTTTACTCACTCCCTCTATTGGCACACAAGAGAGCTAGCTCAGCTTAATGACTTCTTTCTTTTCCTGTGATGCTAGGGATTGAACTCAGGGCCTCCACCATGCTAGGCAAGCACTCTACCACTTGAGGAACTCCCCAGACCTCTGTATTGCTCACTTTGTCTAGGCTGGCCTTCAACTAGTGATCCTCCTGTCTCTATCTCCCAAGTAGCTGAGATTACAGATGTGTACTACACACCTGGCTTTACCGTTCACTTTTTTTTAACTACTTAAAAGGGTTAGCACGTTTGTACATATACTTCTTTAATTAAAACAGTAACATGGACTGTTACTCTAGGAGAAACAAGCTTCATTTGGTATAATTTTTGTATTTCATATTCACTTAACTTAGTTTAAATTTGGATCTTTCAAATTTCTTTAAAGTGAGACTCATTACCAGGGTAAAAGCAAGTTGAGTGACATGAGTTGTTTATTAGTTTAAATGTTTACTGAAAAACTTACTATGTGCTAACCCTATACTAGCTGTTATTAATCAATTGTTCTTTGAAACAAATTGTTTTGAGTTTAATATTCTCTTGGATATATTATCTAATTACTAAAAAATTGCTGAACTCAAAGTAATTTTCAAAGCCTTTCTGACAATCTATTAGGGAGAACTATTATTTTCTCAGCTGTCAAATGAACAAAACATTAAATGTTAGCATATGCCAATCACAACACAAATTAAACACACGGTAAGAAAACTGTCCATACTTGCTCAAATTGGTTTAAGCAAGCTGAGGCTTTAAAATGCTGTTCTACTATGGTCTCTTCAAAAAGGAAAAATTCTTAGCTTGGAGCATTCGTCTGATAAATAACATGGCTCAAAGTAAATACTGTTACTGAAAACAATGGACAAACAATATAATGTAAATTTTGTGGAGCAAAACTAAGATACTTACTGAAAGTAATGAAAAGGTCAATATAACACTCCCATATATAGCAACAATTAGTTTTATAAAGAAGATATAGTGAAAATCTGGAAGCACAAAGTAAGATTTTCATAGCGATGTTCACTTAGCTGTCTACACTTGGCCCACTTGTACAAGAAAACCAATCAACATTTTGGCAGTTGATAATATAATGCAGATGGTGATGGATGGAACATCTTTGAGCTCAAACTGGTACCTTCTATTTTAACTTCTTATTTTTGTTTGTGGATGTTTGTTTTGGTTTGCTCATGCTGTTATCAGGAGAGATTCTCAGACAAAAGCTTTGTGAGTTATTGATTGATTTATTTATAGGTGAGTTATAAGTCAGGCCTTCAGAGGAAGGGTTTGCTAATTGTCAGTTATGAGGGAATTCATTCAGCTCCTGTCTGACTGGCAACTCCAGTTCTAAAGAGAAAGACAAGATAGAGGAAAGAGAAAAGCATTTTGGGCCAAACGTTCAAATGTATTTTATGAAGAACTAATAATTCATACTTAGATATACATACTTTGAAAAAAAACAACATGATATACAAATAAATTATGACTTCTGTCAGATGAAAGCTGTTTTTTTAACACCTAATTTCTTGGTACCTTTTATTTTAAAGGGTGAGTGAGAAATGTACATATGAATTAAACACATGTCAAGAAATGTATACAGGCAAACCTTGTGAAATCCTCAATAGTCTTACTCCCTTATATTTCATGATGCTTTACAGTTTTCAAAGAGCTTTCATTGGACTGTTTTCATTTGATCTTAATTTGACCACTTAGTGAGGTAGGTAGAGTAGGTATTAATCTTTAATCTTCATTTTTAAACAAGGGGACCTGGGCTCAGAGAGGGTAGCTTGTTAAAGGTCAAAAACTAGCATATGGCAGAGCTAGGCATCTCTAGAGTCTAGAAATTTTTTTCTAAGTGTGATTAATGGAATATCTGCCTAAGAATCACCTGTGGTGTTTTTATAACCACAGATTTTGAAGTCCTTCCACCTTCAATTTATTGAACAAGAATTCCTAGGAGTGAAGCCAAGAATCGCGCATCCTACAACAGCCAGTGCAGTGGAGACAGCTGTGTGTCAGGCGGTGTGCGAAGCACACCACAGAGTCCAGCCAGAGGTTCCTGTGGTGTAATGTGAAGCCGTCAGACATCAGGAGCGCGTGGTTTAGAACAGTTTTCAAGCCTGGATGCAAACGTGAATCACTTGGAACTTTTTTCCTTTCTTTTAAACTAGCAATTTTCATCTGAATGACAGAAAGATGCTGGGTATCAGATGTTCCCCAAGTGATTCATACCTACAGTCACAGTTGAGGACCACTTGTATTTTCTATGTAACACAGCTAGCATTTTCCAGAATTTTTCTTTCCCTTCTGATAAATTTCATGCCTAATAAAATTCACAGTTCATATGATAAACTATTAAAGTATTACAAGATAAAAATGCCAAACATTTTTGACTTGATATTTTAAGATTAAAAGATACTCATAGCAAGACTAATCATGCTCCATTTAGCTACAATGATTTTCAAATACCCAAATTAATCATCACTTTGGTCTTCAACTATACCTATTTAGCTGTAAACAATGACTCAGAAACTGCAAATAGGACATGGCAAACACTGCAGCAAACTGGCTACTGGGCAATGCAAGGGCAGACAACCAGCTCACTATGGGGGGACCTGAATACTAAGGTCTGGTGGCTTTGGCAATGTCACATCTTACTGTAGAAAAATACAATAATGAATACAGAGGAACTATTTTGCCATTTGTAACTGCAGTTACCACAAAGGACCTTATAATTAGTGATGTTTATCTTACTACATGCTTCCACAGAGCAGATCTGAACAAGAAGTTCTCTATTAATCAATACTGTTACCTGGGAAAAGACGGCTACAAATTAAAGTTTTTCCATCATGCATATGGATAGTATAAAAACACAGCTAGTAAAAGTAATATTTACAAAAGCAATAAAACAACACAATTATAGGGGGAATGCCCATCTCTGCTTTTATTCTGTTGCTAGTCCAAATCCTGAATATCTCTGGATGAAGAGTATTTTGATAGAATTTTGAAAGAACCTCCCATAGGCTAATCAGACTTTTCCATTGCACTTACATTCTATTAGCTAAAATACCCTTGCTGATTTATCAAAGTCTCATTCAGTTTAAAAACAGTTCTTTTTCATTTAGTGGAAATAAAACTACAAAGTCCTGCTATTCATCTGAGAAGTAAACCTTGCATAGAAAATTTCTTTAATTCTGAAACTTTGTTTTATTAACAGAGCTACCAGAATGTTATCTCACAACTAGTTCATATTATATGAAAGTTCACTACAAAGCGGTCACCACACATTTAGAATTTTTCTAAATATAAAATAAGTGGGTTTATAAAAATGCTTACCGGACAAATAATTATCTCTTCACAACCTAGAAAGAATTGTTTTTATGAAGATATGACTCTTAAGTGTTTTGGATGGCTTGATGTTCCAAGTTTGATACGATATAAAAAGCAAACATTTACCTTCTCAGTGGACACACTGCGCCTGACTGAAATATAGGATGACAGTGAATTATAGCAGTCAGTCAGGTGAAGGCAAAGAAGAAAACCTGCGTTTTAACAGCACACACTTTCACCTTAGACAAGACAAATCACGCACTGGTTCCGTCCTCTTCAATAACACGATTCATGCTGGTGCCATGTGTGACATGAGTCATGGGATTGTTACTGAGATCTCGAATACTGCTGTGTCGTGACTGTTCATTGAGCCGATGAGAACTGCTGTGCCTGGAATGATCTGTCAGTCGGGACATGCTGCCGTGAGGCAGTCTCTCTTCCATTCCTCGGTAACTGCAAGGAGTGTACCTAGCATAGGAGAGATGATTTTGGTTTTTTTTTTTTCTTTTATTATTCATATGTGTATACAAGGCTTGGGTCATTTCTCCCCCCTGCTCCCACCGGAGAGATGATTTTGAAGTGGGTGACAAAACACACTAGAAAATAACACTACAGATTTTCATGAAAATGCCTCAGTAAGTGAAATGTTAAGGAAACCAACAACGACAAAGCAGTAACAATCTCTGACTGTTTAGAGTAATTTCATTAATGCTGTGGCATTGTAAGGGGACAAACATGAGGGGAATAAAATGGCAGAAGTAACTGTGTTTTAGATAAAGGAGATAGGAAGGCATACTTAAAAGCAAAACATTTAGGAAGACTGAGAAACCAGCTTCGCTCACAGGTGCAAAGGCACAGCAGTTTCTCCTCCTAGACAAGGAAACCAAGATAAAACATTCCTAAAGGCAGAAGTCTGAAGGGATGAAATATAGACCCCTAACAGAGAGTGACACAGCAAACTTTCCCAAGATAAACAAAGAAAGGGGTCTCACCAGAATAATGAGCAATAGTCATAAAACGTTAGGTGATAAGCCTCAAGGACAGGATGGAATAATGAGACCTTCTTGAACCAAAAATTAGACAGTCAATTATAGCCACAGTGTCAAAGGTAGAGTGGGGAGGGTGCCTAAGTAGTCTCTATATAATCTCATGAACTTCAGCCATTCTTTGGTTTAGCTCTTTCGCTAAGTCCCACCCATTAGAGTGCTTTGCCATCCTTCCAATACACCTTGTGTTTGCTTTACTCTTAACTCCTGGTCTGACGTGAACTTGTTTAACTCCTAACCGCTTGTCCAGTGCCTTCATTCATTGACTGCACCGGCCACGAACCTGGAGAACAACAATCCAGTCTGGTACCAGCATTACCTGCCATGGCTAACAAAGGAGGGGAGATAATCCACTCAGGTTCAGAATTAAGGCCTCTTCCCTACAAAAGGGCACAACTAAAATGAAGGCTGAATGATTTGGAGCAATAGGTAATTTTCTCATTCAAATAACTCTTGGGCAATAGGATTGTTTCAGGGAAAGGAAGAACAATAGCAGATATGTGACACTGCCCCTAGCAGCCTGTTAGATTGGTTATAATCAGCAGTGCAAACTCAAATTGTACTGAGACCAGGACTGGAAGAGGGAAGAAACAATGAAACAACCTCCCCTCTCCCGCTCCCCCCCAAAAGCGGATGAACTGGCAAGCAATAACGCCCATGCAGCTTTCCATTAGCCCAGTTACCAGCTGAATTAACCACTTGTAAACGATCTTAATTATTAATTACTCTCCTTAGGGTTGGAAGCTGTGAAGAAGCAACATCTACTTGGAAGTTACACCCTAACATTCTGTAACCTAAATTTTTGCAACAGCAAATTCTCTCTACTCCCCAGCCCAAGAGAGCACATCAGCTGGGCTATACTGCTTAGTGCAGGCGGCCTCTTCCATTGCTATTCTTGTCTTGAAAGGCAGTAGTGCAGCTATTAAATTTTCTGTTGTTGCAATTCTGACTCATTAAGCCCCATCAGAGGCAAGAATATTAAAAATTTTTCTGCTATAAGGAATGAGAAATTATTAGCTCAAGGTCAGTCAAGGTCACAAAAACCTATTACAATTTTTTATTAATCCTTTGTTTATATAGCTAGCATGCTATTTATCAGTCTTTCCGGCTTAATGGTGAGCTCTTTCAGGGTAAGAACCATATTTTATCTTTTAATCCCTCGTGCCTTAAGAAATATTTGCCTAAAATACCTCCTTTTGTTCATACATTCATAATACACTCTTTGGTAAAATATATTTAATTTAGGATAGTAAAACACAAAGAAAACTGAGTATAATTTAAAATTTTAACAAATACACGATTTTGTTTGTTTTTGCAATACTGGAGTGAGAGGCCCAAATATATTTTAAGTAATATTTCTAAAAATAAACAGAGCCTGCATGGTGTCACCTATCTGTAATCCGACCCTCTGGAAGACAAGTTCAAGACCAGCCTGAGCCACAGTGAGATCCTCTCAAAAAACCAGGGACTAGGGATATAGCTCAGGGGTAGAGCACTGGCCTCGCATTTGAAAGGTTCTAGGTTTGATCTCCAGCACAGCAAAAGGAAGGAAGGGGGATGGAGGGGAGATGGAGGTGGGGACTCATAATATTTAACATTTTTTTTGTTTGTTTGTTTAATGGTGGGGATCAAGCCCAGGACCTTGGCATGTCAGGCAGGGAATCGTCCAGCAACTTTTTAATCCCCAGCAACTTTTTTTTTTTTTTTTTTTTTTACAAATAGTCATCATAAGCAGCTGAAGTTACTGGCTGTCGAAAAGCATTCACCTACCATTCTTTCAGAATAATGATTATAACAAATTTCATGACTCAATGTGCATCAAAGATTCACGAATACTACTGAGGTACTCTTTTTAGTTTTATGGAAGTGCTTGTCAAAGGACATTTTCATTAGATTACAGAATTTAAAAATTGAGGAGTCCTTTGAAAAAACTTTTTGAGGTACTGAAGTTGGAACTCAGGGCCTCACACTTGCTAGGCAAGTACGCTACCACTTGCAGTATACATACCCACAGCCCTGAAAACAAAATTTTTTTAAAGCACATCTTGGTTTCCAGTTTGAGTAAAGCAAATAAAATAGAAAGAAAAGAGGTATATTTAAATGTTTTTAAAATTTATCATGTTAATGGGTAAGAATATTTAATTCTTATTTATTAAAAGACATTTCACATTTTGAACCTACACAGTTTTAAATTTGTACTGCGTATTTTGGTAAAATAATTAGTGTTTACAAATGAAAATATTTCACAATGGGTTTGTTATTTTTCTTTAACAATTATTATTTTGCACAGTGATTACTGTCCTCAAACAAGTGGAAGATCTTTTCAAATTTTCATATTTGATCTGTCAGCTGAACGGGGATCTTTCAGCTCTCAATGGTTTCATAAGTATCTATTTCAAATAAATATGGCAAGTAAAAAGAGCAAACTATGCAGTATTCTAGCAATGATAGAAAAGGAATTAAAAATATAAGCAGGCTGGGCACAGTAGTACCCAGCTACCTGGGAGGCTGAGGCAGGAGATTTCAAGTTTGAGGCCTGCTTGGGTTACATAGCAAGTTCAAGGTCAGCCTTGGACACTTAGCAAGACCATGTCTCAAAAAATAAAAATGGGTTGCACACTGGTGGCTCACCTCTGTGATCCTGGTTACTTAGGAAGCTGAGATTTGGGAGACTAAGGCTCAAGGGTAGCCTCAGCAAACAGTTCGAGAGACCCCATCTCCAAAATAACCAGAGCAAAATGGAGTGGATGTGTGGCTCAAGTGGTAGAGTGTCTGCTTTGCAAGCATGAAGCCCTGAGTTCAAACCCCAGTCCACCAAAAAAATAAAAGGCAAGGGAGGCCTGGGGACCTAGCTCATTGATAGAACACTTGCCTTGCAAACCCTGGGGTTAATCTCTAGTACTGCCAAAAATAAAAATAAAACCAAATCATTTTAAAATATAAATTGTATATTTTCCAAATCTAAACTTTGAGTTAGAAATAGAACTCAGTACAGTTTTAATAGAAAAATATCTTATTGAGTAATTAATGTCTAATTAAGTAATGTACATGACTAGCCACAAAAATTCTTAAATATGAAAACCCTGCCCTTGGATAATTAGGAGCTAACTATATACAAAAATAAATTTAAGTGCCAGGTTTGGTGGTACCTGCCTGTAATTCCAGCTACTCCAAAGGCAGAGATAGGACGATCTTGGCTCTAGGACAGCTCAGGTAAGTCGGTGAGACCCTATCTCATAAACAACCAGGGATGATGACACATACCTATAAATCCCAGCTACTCGGGAGGCTGGGACAGGAGGGTCACTATTTGAGTAAAGCCTGGGCAAAAGTTAGTAAGACACAGCTGCTTGGGAGGTGGCCTGAGACCAGCTAAGGCAAAGTTAGTATGAGATCCTCTCTGAAAACAAACTAAAAGCAAAAAGACTAGGGGTGTAGCCCAAGTGGTAGAGGGCTTGGTAGCAAGTGCAAGCTCTGAGTTCAATCCCTAAAGTGATTTTAAAAGTTAAATTTTTTTTTTTTAAATTATAAATGCCAAAACTTTTAATTATTATATTTAATCTCAAATATATATGTAGGAACTGCCAAATTTATCTTTTGAAAGTCATTTAAACCAATGTCACTCATTGTACTACACAATACATTCATTTTAACATAACCTTAGGCAAAAACAATTAGGATGGTTATTTTGCTTAGGTTGTTAAAAAGATAGTATGGGCAGGTATGATGGCACATGTAGGCAATCCCAGCACTTAGGAGGATGAGATAATCGAGACTTTGAGGCCAGCTGGGCAACATAGCCAGACCCTGTCTCAAAAAGCCAAAAAACCTCAGGAGGCGGAGGCAGGAGGATCTGAGGCAAAATCAGTGAGGTCATATCTCCAAAGCAAAATACAAACAAAAGGGGTGGAGCATGGTTCAAGTGGCAAAGTGCTTGCCCATCATGCTTGAGGCCCTGGGTTCAATCCCAAAAACTGAAAAAGAGAAAGAAAAGAAAACCAAAAAGAAAATCCCCAAAACATGCATCCTAAAGTCAAAATGAAAAAAAAGTCAAAGATGATTTTTGTTTCTCCACACTATTTTCTCCCATTATTAAATTAATGGTAGTTCTACTAGTATCTCATTATTCACTTGTAGCTTTCCCTTTTCAATTCACACGTTAACAACCTCATCACTCATTCCCAAACCTCCACCTAGCTATTCATCTATTTTCTCTTCTGCCCATCCTCCCATCTAACTACCACTGGCTTCTTCTGTGAGGCTGACATGTATGTCTGGGTGTCCACAACAGAGATCAATGACTATCCAAGCCATCTGCACCACAGTGAGTCTTGGACAACTCCCTTAAGATGACGATGAGATGTCCAAAAGAGTGCTCACATGCAAAGTTAACAACTGACTGCAGCAGAAAGAAGTCTTCATGAGAGGCCTCTGGATGAAAATCCTCGTTTAAAATTTTAGATTCAATGCAGTCCTGGGATCTCTCAAATCTGCCTACAGTTGTGAGGATAGCAAAAGGTCCTACAGTTTGAGTATTTATGTACCACACTACAGGATGCCTTCAAGAGGTTGTCACTGTAGCTCTGGACCCTAAATTTCTGAGAAACACCCACATTATTCTAAAGTCATTATCTATTTGATAGATTGCTCATCACCTACTATCTACATACCTAGTACTGTGCTGCATTATTGAGGAGGAATACAGGGATGTATGTCACTAGTTACATTTACAGGCAGCTGCAAACTTAGCTGAAGGAAGACAACTCTCCTGAAATTAGATCATAACCAAAAGAATGATAAAGATAAAAAGCAGTAAGTTGACTACTATGCAAACTGGAATTACCCAGGCCTTACATGATGCATATGATTTTGACTGAGCAAAGTGTAGGAAAGGCATTACTGGGAATCATAGTGTACACTCTGGTTTTCAGGACGTGTATTTTTTATAAATTCCTTCACATATGTCTTCATATGTCTATAAGCACTTTTTCTGAATCATATGTCCACAATTCTTTTTTTTTGTCCACAATTCTTTATTATTGCTGTATTTACTAAAATCTTGTGCTTTTTTTCTTGTTATGACTCAAGGAATTAAATCTCACCATTTCAACCACCAACTACCTTGTACTGATGGTTATAAAATCATCATAACTTATGCTTCAATTCCACTTAGATTACAATGGAAGAAATCTATCTTTAACTGCCCTCAGAAATTCTCTTCTCAATATGAACTTAACTTTTACCATTTGTTCACTCTTTTTCTCTCTATAGATATTTTCATGGACCAATTTAATTTTCCTCTTTCTTACAGGTCTACAAAGTCTATCATCTTTAACACTATTTAAATTATGTCCTGGTTTAAGCTTTTATGTAATTGGTTCATATTAGTAAGTCCTACCTTTTCTATAAGGTTATATGATCCTAGAATGTAGAAATTGCCCACCTTTCTTCTAGATATGCACATGGAATGTAACAGGCATAGGCGTTGTTTTATAATAACTGTCCACTCATCATTGAAAAAGATGAGGTCAATAATGTCAAATGTCAATGCTAAGAGTTCATGGAGGGAGGCAAATGATAAGATTTATCGCAGAAGACTTCTCTCCCTCCTAATTAGTATCTTAAGTTAGGAGCCCTAAATAGAGATTACTTATAATCTCCTTTCCTATACTGGTTGTTAAGTGATTCTCCTAAAATTCAAGTGTCACTCTAATGCTCAGATCCTATAATAGTTTCTCACTGCTGTCAGGAAAAAAAAGTTGTCCACATTTCTCAGCATTGCCCAAACACACATACCCAAACACTGGGTGCTCAGCCACATCCAGGTACCTAACTGCCTGCCTGTTCTCCTTCCTCTGCATATGCTGTTCCCTTGTCTTTCATTCCCGAGTGTTTCCTCTGAATCCTATTTCAAGTAGAAGCACCATCTCTTGGGAAATGTCTCTGATTTTCCATGATGGAGATGGTATTGTACATAAATGTATATTGTAAGAGATTGTTTAGTTTTTTGTCTTCGATCTCTGCATCCCTAACACTATGAAGCATGTATCTTATACAGGACTGCTAAGTGGAAGTAATGAAGACAGGAGGAGAAAAGAATTTTTGAATGTGGTTAAAAAGAGGTTATCAGTAATGTCAGAGGGCACAAATAGTTCAAGTAAGTAAGGAAGAGAAAAACAGACTAGATTTACAAAGGATGAAGAATGGAATTGATAGAAAGGCAGTATTAAAATATGCATCTCATTTTTAAAAATCTGGAGAGGCAAAGAAAAAAACAGATAAAAGAAGATATAACAAAGTCAAAGAAAGATTGCTGCTTTTTAAAATGCAGGATAGCAGACCAAGCTAGAAGGCAAGTTGAGAGGAGAAACCAGGTCACAGTCAGAATATAGGAATCGACACTAAGAGAAAACTAAGAGAAGGTTGGATTGAGACTGTCAGGATACAGGACAACCATAGAAACAGATGTTTTTTAAGTGAATGTAGAATATTTCCAATTTTAGGTATTAAGAGTTTTCATTCTTTTGGTTTCCCAAAGTAGAAATCTTAAGGAAAGAAAATCTTTGGTGAATTATTTTTTCTAGCTGCAAATATTAATATATCATTAACCCCACTCACTTCTTTCTGTATCTTTCAGGTCAGCTCTTCCTCTCCTCCCACTGCTACTACCCTTTGGTAAGTCTTCATCATCTCCCAAATAAACAACTGCAAAGTTCCTAAGCATTTTCTTTTTCTTCTTTTTTTTTTTTTTCCTTTTTTGGCAGTACTGGGGATCAGTTCTAATTCTAATGCCTTAAACCCTCAAATTTAGTAAGAAGCCCACAGCCAGACTTCTCTCAAACATTCTTTCTGTAAGGTTTTCTCTTTCTCTCTCTTTCCTTCTTTCCCTTCCTCCCTCCCTATCTTGATTGAGCTCAGGACCTTGTGCTTGCTGGGCAGGCAGGCACTCTACCACTTGAACCACGCTCCAGTCTTTTTGCTTTAGTTTGTTTTTCAGATAGGGTAATCACTAACTTTGCCTAGACTACCCTCAGACATTGATCTTCCTACTGCTGCCTGCTGAGTAGATGGGGTTACAAACATGTGAAAGTATTTTTTGAAACACTCCCTCACCACCAGAATTGAGCACTCCTTCCCCTATGGTTTTACTGCATTAGAAAACAAAAGCTGGCCAGGTATGGCCTAATGGCCAAATGTGCCACCTCTCCTGATTTTGTAAATAAAGTTTTATTGGAATTCAGAAACTCCCACTTGACTACATGTTGTCTGTAGCTGCTTTAATGCTACAGCAGCGTTACAGTTCATTTGCAATAACAGAAATTGGTATCAGGTGTTCATTGAGACAGGCACTGTTCTGAGTAATTAGATATGTTATCTCATTTAATGTTTATGATATTACTAAAGAGGTAGATATTATTAGTATTTCTACTTTATACATAAGAAACTGAGGCTGATCACTCTAGACCCACATTCTATTTATTTTTCTAACTTTATTTATTTTTATCATTGTTGTACTAGAGGTACACTGTGACATCTACAAAAGTTCAGATCCACATTCTTAACTATAACACTGAATATATTATCCTTCTAAATAGACTGGGAATTTATTAAGAGCAAAACTCATGTTGGCTGGGCTTGGTAACTCATACCTATAATCCAAGTGACTGAGAAGGAAGGCTAGGAGGATCACCGTCTGAAGCCAGCTGGGCAAAAGCTCAAGACCCTATCTGAAAAACAAACTAAGAGCAAAAAGGACTAAGGGCATAGCTCAAGTGGTAGAGGGCTTGACTAGCAATCTTCAGGTCACCCAAAGCTCATGTGTAAGTCATCTTTGTATTTGTGAAGTCCAGCTCTGTACCATAATAGGTAATCCATAACTGTCTGCTAAATTAGTTTATTTCCATCTTGTCTTCTTCTCACGCAATACCCTAAAAGGACTCCTTGTTGCTTTTGCATAAATCTAAAATCTACAGTGTTTTTTTTTTTTTTCAGTGGTGCTGGGGTTTGAACTTAGGGTTGCATGCTTGCTAGGCAGGCACTCTACCACTTGAAGCATGCCCCCAATTCTGTTTTGCTTTATTATTTTTTTGGATAGGGTCATGTGTTTTTGCTGAAGGTTGGCCTGGATCTTGATTCTCCTACTTATGCCTTCTGTGCATTTGGGACCATACACATATGCCACTAAGCCTGACTTTTTTATTGAAATGGGGGGTCTAATTTTTTGCCTGGGCTAGCCTCAAATTATGATCCTTCCAATCTCTACCCTGAGTAGCTGGGATTTTAGGCATGTACCCTAAAATGATTTCAAGTCCTATTATCTGGGACAACTCTACCTAGAAATGTTCCAAAGGCTTAGTGATGTTCAACTTCTGTTTCAGAATTGGCTGTTCTTCTTTCTTAAGCTGTATGAGCATAAATGAACACACGAAATAGACTGAGTCATGCACAGAACTCACCTGCCATCACGTGCCCTGTGAAGGCTGCCGTGGCAGCTGCTCACTTTGCTGTGGACACTCCCTGCTTTGCTTCTTTGGTCGTCCACCATAGCCAGCTGAGTTGAGGAAGCATGTGTGGATGTTCCTTGAGTGGAAGTTCCTCTTGATTTCCTTATAATGGGAGTATTTGGGTCCCTCAGGAGTGACTGAGCAAAGTCAGGTTCCTGGAGCACCTGCCGACTCTCATTCACTATCCTAGACAATGCAATGGTAAGTTGAAGATTCAGATTAACATCCCTGCAGACCAATAAACAATGATGCTATGCAATGCTGATGCTATTCTTAGAATTAACTGCTCTCTAAATTAGGTCTGTAAGACTGATTTAAGGTGACACTGTTGATACAGGAAAGAATATAACAAAAATCCTGTCACTCTGTCCCATAAAGTAGTAATGGAAAGAGGCCTGTGTTAGAATAAGGAAATCAGGACTTTGGTTACAACTCTACCAACACATATATGACCTTAGGCAAGCCACTATTCCTTTTTCCCTTCATTTTCCTCATCTATACAATTTCATCTTTTTTTTTCTTTCTTTCTTTTTTTGAGATAGTTCAGGCTGGCGTAAACTAATGATCCTCCTGTTTGAGCCTCCTGAGTAGTGATTACAGACATGTGCCACCACATCCAGCCAATGTAATTAGGTCCCTTTCAGCTAAAGAAACTTATGATTCTCAGACACCAAAATATTACAAAGATATAATTGTGAAATAGAAATGCTGCTTTCTTGCATGGTTTATGGTAGTAAAGGTTTCATAATAACTTGTCTACAACATGTTTAAACTTGTAAGAACTGTTGTTTTAAGGCTAAAGTTGATTTTGTGGCAGAAATAGTTGTCTAAGGCTGGAATAAACATGAATGCCACCATTAGAACAAAATAATATGAAAAATTATTTTAAGCAAGCATACAATTAAGAATTTAAGGGGCATATTAAGGCTTAAGAGAAAAAATTTAAGGGGACAAGTTATTTTCAGGAGTAAAAGAGTTAAAAGTAGATAAATATTTATGGTGGTGAACAAAGCAGTACTAAATTAATAAAAGATCTAACTAAATAGTTGTAAAGATCAGTGTCTTGACTCATGAAAGTTATGAGAATCAGTTAAAATTAAACAATTTGATTAAGAATGTAACTCAAGCATGTAAAAACTGGACCATATACTGAGATAGTACTTGAGAAAGTGTACAAGGGGATTGTTAATTTTGCTTGTTGAAAGGCCTGAAGACATCATATTTGTTAAGAACTTTACATGCATTCTCCTTTGCTCTTCCTAATGTAATTCTTGATTTTCAAAATTTATGATAAAATATAAATAGATAATGAAACTGAATGCTTACAGAGAGAAAATCTATCTATGTCAATCCCAAAGCCAGAAGCATGCTTAATGGGAACAGCAAAAGCCACTAAAAATATTCTTATTATAATCAGGAATACAACACTATCAACTGCCACCACTCTAACCTTGTTTCAGCAGCGCCAGACTACAGTTAGACAAAAGAAGTAAGTTAAGGGCATAACATTTCAGCATGTACTAAATTAGATGGAATAACAATCTGTTTTTTCGTATCACTTTTGGTATACTTGGGAGAATGCTGGACAATTGCAAATAGAAGTTCAAGTTAACATTAAAGACCTGTGTGAGTTTGGCCAGGGACTTACATCTTTTAGTTTTCTCATCAGAGATGAGGATGCATAAACCTTCACAGGAAAATCAGAAAGACTAAGTAAAAATGGGTAGAAAAGTATTCATTTGTTTTTAAAGAAAATAATTTGGAGTTTTAAATAAAGGGTAGCTTTTTTCCCCCAATATTCTGAATTCATGCCTAAAGGAATAAACTCTAGGCATGGTTCTACTGGGCTATCTTCTCAAAATTAGCTCTTAGTTGCCTTTATATTTTTGTGATGGGCTCTCACTATGTGGCCCAGGCTACCCTTGAACTTGTAATCCTCTTGTCTCAGTCTCCCAACTAGCTGGGTTTACAGGCTTCTTCCACCATGTCTGGCTAGTTTTTAGTTTTTAACTAAGACATTCTACTGTGCCAATAATAACTGATGGCTGCTAACAAAAATTACAGTCTTTACTTATTTTTCTGAGGTGTTAGGGATCAAATGCTCAACTAGTCAAGCACTCTATCCCTGTGCTACATCCCCAGTCCTTAGTTTTTAAGACCGGGTCTTGGTATATAGTCCAGGCTGGCAGTGGAGTTTAGATCATCCCAAGTCCCGTGATTACAATAGCACATCACTGTGCCTGGCTTCAAAATCACAACCTTGCTTGAATGCTCTTCCAAATCCAAGCTGTTTTAACAAGCAACCCAAAACACCTACATAAATGTGAAGTTTATGAGCATTAACAATTGATTAACTTACTCTTTTTTCCTACGACCATGAAAAAAACTGGCCCATTCAAAGCATGTCTTTTTGCTTCCAACCCAAAAAATAGAGGGAATGCCAACTATGAGAGCCATCAGATATTTCATCAGAAAGAGAATAAGGTCTGGACGACTCATCTGAGTAACCTACAGGGAAGAAAAAAAAATCTTAAATACACACAAAGAACCTTCTGTTAAAGGCAATTATATAATTTTTAAGTAAGATAAACAATAGTAATTCTACGAATTTAATATTTTTCATTTATAAGGCTCTTTAGGTATTTTTTATTTTATGGAAAAGATATACCCCTGAAAATTTAATAATCAACTTATACTCTATGTATTGAGCACAGTATTTCTCTTAATGGCTGACATTAGACATTTACTAAAGAAAAAGTTTGCTAACTTAGAAAACAAACCATTAACAGGAACAGAGGGTGAAATAATATACCATTTCCTTGGCCAATTTCACAATTAGGAAGATATTGAGTTTTCCCTTCCATTTTATTGTGTTCTTATCTCCCCACATCCCCTCCCCTGCGCTGAGGATAGAACCCAAGGCTTTGTGCCCGCAAGGCTCGCTCTCTACCACTAGCACAACCCCAGCCTCTTTCTTATTCTTGTTAAAACATCCTTCCTTCTTTATACTTCATGTGGACACTACAGGCTGCTTTCAAGCTCTCTCTTTTACAAGTACATTTTCTAGTTTTCAGTCAGATGCATTTTTTAAAAGTTTCTTTTCATTGTTTGTTTCAAGTATACTATGGTCAGAGAATATTGTGTATATGATTCTGGTAACCTTAAATTTTGGAGATGAGGGCTGACTCAGTGGTAGAGCATTTGCCTAGATGCGCAAGGCCCTAGGTTCAATCCCCAGTATCAAAAAATAAATGACCAAAAAATATATATGGGCTTGTGTGATTTAGAACATAATTTTTTTTCTTTTTAAAATTTTTTCTACACAATTTTTTTAAGTAGTCCTGTGTGCTCTAAAATAATGCATATAAAATAAAATAACACATACACTCTATTGTTGGTTTAAAAATTTCTATATGTATTAGACCCAATTTATTAGCCATGTTCTTCAGATCTACAATTGACTAATTTTCGTACTGGTTACCTATCAGTTTTAATAGAAACATGCCCGAAATCCCTCACATGACTGTGAACCTGTCAATTCTCCTTCTAATCCTGTCATTTCACTTTTAATTCCGTGTAGTTATAAATTCAGGAATGTGCTAGCGACTCATTTCACTTTATTAATGCTCTTCACCTTTAAAACGTATTTTGTCTAACATTAGTATTTCCATGTCAGCTTTTTTGTTGTCCACACCAGCATTTTTTTCACGTACATAATTTTTCTTATTTGCCAGTCTGTTTCTTTCAAGTGTCTGCCTGGGTTAGCTGTGCCTTTTTAAAGCAGCATGTAGTTCCCCATTACTAAAAGGGAAACTCAATGAAGATAGAGTCCAGCCCCTAAATGTTTACTCCTAAGGTCCTAGAGCAGTGCCTGACACATAGTAGGTACTCAAAAAATACAGACACACAAAATATTTGAAACTTATACTTGAATTTGGTTTTATTAGAAAGAAATTACAGTCAAAATTATTCAGTATCTCCATTTTCTTCCTCACAAGACAGTGCTCCATCTTTACCTACCTTTCTTAGTATTTCCCAGATATTCAGAGTAACTTTTACAAAAGCAATTATTTTTATCATTGCTAATTAATTCTGCCAAAAAAAATACACCCTGTCCTGCCTTTGGGTCCCCTTTTCTTGCTAAAAGGATGCCCTTTAAGATGCCCTTTCAAACAGGATATGCCATAGAAATATTAAAGTCTTGGTCTGAAAATATCTTTATTTTACCTTAAATCTTGAATGGTAGGTTACTGGCATAGTTATCTCTCAACATTTTAAAGTTCATTGTCTTCAAGCTCTTATTGTTGCTGTTGAAAAGTGCCTAGCTGACACCCTTCTGGAGATTATTTTTTCTCTCTGGTAGCATTTAAGTTTACCTTATTTTTTTTGTTTTATAGTACACTAATATTTATCAATGTAGTTGACTTTTATGTATCCTGTTTCATACTGAGATTGTACTTTTAATCTAAGAACCCACGTTTCCAACTCTGAGAAATTCTCGGCCATTATCTCTTTGGTTACTGCTTGTTAGTCATTCTTAGAGCCTCTCCTTCTGTAAATCTTATTCAATGAACACTGAAGTTCCATCTATGCCTTAACGTCTCCTATCTCCATAATGTCATAATTTTGGATATTTTTGTCTCTCTGTGGTCTGCATTCTCTGAAGAGTTCTGTAAACTCTTTACAACAAATTTTCAACATGAATTCCCTCTTCAACCGTATCTATTTTTAGGGTCCATTCTATCTATGATTAAATTTCTGTAACTTCATATCTCATTTCTAAGACGCCTAATCAGTTCTTATACTTGTATATTTTGATTTCATGTTTACTTATTCATCATAACTTCTTTTAAAATGATTTTACTGCCTATCTTTTGGAGAACACTAGCCATATTTATTTAAAATGTTTAATAAAAATCGGTCTATTTTATTTCATCTGAGAGTGAATCTGTCTTCTGATTGCTTATTTTGTTGAATGTCTTTCTAGGTTTAGCTTTTTCCTTTTTAAAATAATGTTTTGGGAGTTTTAGTTCGTAGGCCTTGAGTGAGAGAGTTCTCTCTCCTCCCTTTCTCCGTCTCTTTTTTACCGGGTCTCATGCCTTTTTGTTTGCCTTCACCAGTGGGGTCCTAGTTGAAGAACAGGTTTCACATTGGTGACTGGAAACTCCAGACATGGCTACTATAGATTCCAGCACTGAGCCATTGCCGTTTGGCTCAAGTACTGATCTTCTCACCCTCCCATGTCTCCAGGTAAGTATTTCTTTTATATAAACCATAGCCTCAGGAACAGGAGTAACAATTTCTACGAAGCAGTTGTCTTCACAGGAGCTGGGGAGCCCATCTACAATTTCTACTTTGTCGACCAGTGAGTCTAACTGTGGTCTCCTAACTTCCATGTGATGTTTTCATTTCTGAACTCCCAGTCACCTCAAACCATTTATAGACCTCAAGTCCATAGGCCCATGTTTTTTTATCTCTAGCCATTTTTGCATTTCTATGCTACAAATTAGTTTATACTGTCTTTTGGATTAGGTTTTACTTTTTTCTCACCATATTTATTTATTACTGACATATACTTATGGTTAGCCTGGTAAACTCAAAGTGACAGAACTTAAATTATAACCATGACCTGAAATTATGGTGAAATTCCTCTAGGTTTCAATCATCCAATAAATTCTTATGGATAGCTAGTACTCTTAGTAATAATACTGAGCCTATGTGAGACTTCACAACCAAGTAAGTCTTGACAAGTGCTCCTGCCATGCTGTTAGAATAAAGTACAAATTAAAGAAACCACAGAATAGTTATGAACCACAATTAAGAAGCAGATAAAGAGACACTACAGCAGGTAACAAATAACCTTCCCATTAACAAATATAATGACTTCTTGTAGGTATACTTTTTCTTCTTTCTCTTTCCTCCCTTCCTTTTTCTTTCTCTCTCTTTTCTTTTTTTGTAGGACTGGGGTTTGGGTTTGAAATCAGGGCTTCACACTTGAGAAGTAGACACTCTACCACTGAGTCACTACTCTGGGCCAGTGTTTCTAACACTTCTATGCAGTAGTACCTTTTGTTCCTGGCCTCTTACTCTTGCTCTCTTTCTTCTATCTTTTTCTTTCCCTACTTCCCTCTTTATAGAAGTTCTTAAGGTTACTTATCTCTCTTTCCATCTCATCAATCACTCAGAAGTCATCTAATCATACTCTTCCTACTGAACGAATTTGCTCTCAACTTAGTTCCATAAATGTAATTAGTACAGCAGTACTGATAAAATGCAAGGTTGTCTTGTCCATGTTTAAATAGCTCTAGCTATAAAGAGTAAGACTATAGTGACTGTTCCAGAAGTTGTACCCACAATCAGTAAAATATCCTTCCAGAGGCAAAACTAAGAAAATAAATACTGAGACGAGATAAACAACTAGCAAAAAAGCCAATCAACTGAAAAACTAATAGAAACAATTGAAGGATTCAGTAAGTAAGCTGGAGAAGATTAACAGAAAAAAAAAATAAGTTTTTTACATACCATCAAAACCCAGGTAAGAAACATAATGAAAACAATTTCACTTACAATGGAAAAAAACAAAAACAAAAACAGGAATAAATGTAACAGGAAATAAAAAGAAAACAATAAAACTCTACTGAAGGACACAGAGTAAAACTGAAGTAAATGTTTCTACACACGTTTTAAAAATGTCAATTCAATTATCTCCCAATTTAATAATATATATCTAATATAATCCTAAAAGATCAACAGGATTTTTCATAGAACTTGAAAAGTATATGATAAGAGATATTTCAAATAAATGGGGAAAAGTATATTGTTTTAATACATGAAATTGGGAAGGTTGGCAATTCAACCCCCTCAGAAGCAAAATAATTTAGATGCCACCTTACACATAAAAAAAAATAATTCTTACATAGCTCTCTATGAAAAAATATAGAGTATGACAAGAATATTGAACATGTTAATAATAGCATGATTACATAGTATTTTTTGAAAATGTAATGTGAAAATAGAAGGTCATAAAAGGAAAATAATGACAGTTTTGACTACTAAAATATGACACTTTTACAGAAGAGAATGTAAATCAAATTAATAGACAAATGACCAGAAATATTAATTGTGTCATCAATAAAAAAGACAAAAGAAATTAAGTAATGAAACAAAATGAAGACTAATCATTAAACTCAAAGTTGGTTATTTAAAAAAAAATAGACAATTCTCTAGTCTGATCAAAATAACAAAGGGAAGAAAACGACATCTCCCCTGAAAGAAATATCAAAGAAACAGTAACAAACAGAGCAAAACTAAAGGAACCTTGTGAGATTACCTGACTCAATTCCATGCAAATGACCTTGAAAACTAATGGAAACAAATGACAGGAAAGTGTAACTTAATAAAATTGACTCCAGAAGAGATAGAAAATTTAAACAAATTATAGAAGAAATAGAGCTATATCTCCTGGGTCAGAGATGCAGCTCAGTGGTAGAGCTCGTGCCTAACATGCA